CAAACCAAAAAAAAGTTATTGTAAGCTAGTAGACGCTTATGTATTGGATTGCGGCATTTTGCCACTTGGATGTTTGACCTTATTTGGCATGCGAAATCTTGGTGTGTTCTGTGGATTGTATGCAGTGATTGCGATAACAAAGTCAATAACCAATTTCTATTAATTGGCATCATGTATAAATTTTAGTATAGAAACAACAATTAAAAGATAAAAGATTATGACGAATTCTTAATATATCACATTTTAACTGTTGTATTATTAATATATGTATTATATTTCACATAAAATTCACTTATATTATGGGTAGTATTTGTGAACAAAAGAAAATGATCACTAAATATTGTCAATAGTGCATAGCACATGCGTACAACTAATATTTGCTCTAATCATTAGTCTAAGACATGATTAACCGTGAGATTTGGAGCCTTGGCTAACTGCGCAACTGCACTTTGAAAGTATCTACTTATATTTTCTCTCTAAATTCTGCATTACAAATATACACATTTATATCATCTCATTCTTCTTCCTCCTTATTTTCCACAGAAGCAGAGAGAGATCAAATCCATAACACACTCTCTCTCTCTCATGGCGAAGCGGTCCTTCTCCCTTTCTCCTTTCTCCTCCTTCTTCCTCCCTAGAGGCGACACTCTCTTTTACCTTATTGCCCTTTTCTCTATCCTCTCCCTCCTCCTCCACCACCTCTCCCCCGTCTCCGCCGCCGAGAACCGCCACTTTGAGGGTTTCGATGCCGATGAAGTCGACGACTTCGCCGACACCGTCGACCCAATCATCTCCTCCATGCCACCACCTCCTCTTACCACCACTCTCTCCGTTTCCGACCCTATTGAATCCCACCACGGCCCTCCTGATCCAGCCCCTCCAGTTACATCTCAGCCGTCCGATCCGAAACCAGCTTCAACATCCTTTGACTACTGGGATGAGGATGAATTCGAAGGTATTCCTCAATCCTTACCCTCTGATTCCCCTTTAATTACTGAATCTGCCACTGCTACTCCCACTTCTTCCCCTTCGGATCCTAATTTGAAATCTGAACCAGAGCCCGAGCCTGAAATCCCGAAATCCATATATTCCTTTACTGTTGAGATTGTTTGTGTTTCTTTCTTGATTATGTTTGTAATAAACTATTTTACTGGGAAAAAAGAGAATGAGAACTTAGCATTAGCTTGGGCTAGTAAATTTGCAACAAAAGACTCTATCTTTGAGAAGAATTTTAGCTTATTGGGTGTTGGGGAGACCGATGATTCACCATTGTTGTTGAAAGAAGGACAAAATGTGTTCAAATTTTATGCTAGTGGGAGGAGATTTTGCCAGGGTTTGTTGGCTACGATGGAGCTTAAAAGCAGGCATGATTTGATTTCGAGGTTGTATAATATGGTGGTGCCTTGCAAAGATGAGATAACGTTTGAGGTGTACATGAATGATGATGCAATGGACCACGTGGTTCTTGCTGTGGCTAGGAAGAAATTGGCCAAGACTATGCAAAAGGAGATTACGGATCTGCAGAGGTTCGCATCGTTGGTGAGCCCGCCCACTGGGAGGAAATGGGTTGCTGAAGAGTTGGCTGTTGTCTCCGAGTCGAAGGAGGTGGCTGGGGATATGATCAATGATACCGTGCTTGATCAGGTTCGTGTCTGAATGCCTTTTGTCTAGCTAGGATATTTTGTTGCTAGAAAAATAATATGAATGTTAGTGAGTTGTGCTAGATTGAAATTTCCTGTTCTTTTGCAAATGTTGAGTTGGAGTATCTAATCTAAGCTCAAGTATCATTCTGGACTGTTATATATTTGCAGTGACTTTGATTCCATTATATTTTTCCTATATTCTAGAACTTATTGTGTAGCCATGAAGGCTTCTAATATAGATATTGGAGCGTGGAAATCTCCTGTGCTTAAATGTTAGTACTAACTTTCAGGTTTTGGAGAATTGTGGTTTGTAGGAATTTTTACTAGTAAGCTGTTAGTCATAAGTGTTATGGTGAAGTTGAAGTAATTACGCCTTGTGGAAGTTGGTGATCTACTGAATAGGAGTAAGAGTGGGCAGTGTTTGGTAGAGTTGCTTAGTGACAATTGAAGGGTACTACATGTAAGAAAAGGAGAATTGGAAGGCATTGTTGAGTGGTTCAGTTTGCATGTGAACTGTGAACAGAGCTGCACTTGCTAGAAGAAGCTTAAAGATTTGCACCTTTAAGTACCTAACTACTTGTTGATTTTGTGGGTAGAAACTGAAAGTGACAGGAACCTTAACCTCAAGGATATTTAATGCAGACAGAGTGAAATTATCTGAACCTACTTGATCCAAAAAAAGGAACGATATTTTGACCCTGCCTGCTCAGTTATCTAGTTTAAAAAGTAGGTCAATGTATTTTTTGGTGGTAAATTATACTATCTTTGCCCAAAGAGATTTACTTTGTTTGATATTTATGGAAAAGAGGAAAAGAGTATGTGAATAATTGTGTTAACTTTATAAGAGACGTTAAGATTGTTTGAAGATGTGAGAAGAGTATGACAATCTCACCTTTAATTCATAAGATATGACACTATTTGTGGTCCTGTGGGGAGGGAGGAACAGAGGGGGGGGGGTGGGGGGGGGGGGGGTAAAGGAGGAGACTAACTGGTTTGGTTTTTCTGTGTGAAGTATTGATGATTTATAGTCATGATAACAGGAAGAGAAGTTCCACCAAAAAGGGGCATGATACATTCTTCTCTTTTGTCCAATTTTTGATGGAGTATAAAAGTTAATGGTGAGGGGTAACCAACTCATTCACTTCTAGTCCACTCATCTTGTACATTGAAATGACTCCTTAGGCTCCACTTTTACTTCTACTCCTTCAGTGTCTCCGCTATTTATCCAAGCAAACAACGTAAAGTAGTGTCATTGTCAATTAACTTGGCTTTCTGAGATGTCGATTTATTTTCCATTTGAGGAATAGAATGTTCTCTTTGGAGCATGCTAAAGTAGAAAGTTGGTCAGGCAAAATGGGGGTGATGAAGTATTTGGTAAAAATTTCTTTTAGAAAGGGATACAAAAGAAAAGGAGGTGGACACTTTTTTAGGATTGATGGGATTAATGACATTTATAATTACTGAACTTGGGATTGATTGGGTAAATGAAATTCATAATTATTGAAGAGAAAATCTTTCTTAAATGTAAATTTAGTTCCTGGATTAGATTTTAAAATTTAATTCTTTCCCACATTATCGAACTTTAGATGAGGTGGGTAGGAAACTGAGCACCATATTGATTTCTCTATTGTTTTTAAAGTGCTAAAATCAGTCAGAATATTATTCTTATCATCAATTGTGCCAAGAGGGTAAACCTATTACAAACATTGGGATTTGTCTTGTGCAAATGTTGTGAAGGTGGAATTCTTTTGTGGAAAAGGATTTTGGTTCACATGTTTCTACGTATCTGTTCTGACCCGAGGACACATTTATCCAGTTCTAGCCGCTCCTTTTTGTTACCTGTGGTTGCAATCTACCCGACTATTAGGATTAACTCTCAGTCCTAGTCCTCTATACCTCACCCATAGGTGAAAGTCATTTCTTTTCATTTGCTCTTTTTCTGTGGGAACACTTGCTCCTTTGGTTCACAGAACAGCAAACTGCAGAATAAGCTATTGATGAACTTTTATTGCTCTCAGATGAGCATCCTTAGTGAGTACTGAGTAGTACATGATGTAGCTTTTTCTAATCAGGTGTAGTATGTGATATAGCTCTATGTTAATACCTGCAGGTTTTCGGTGACAAAGCATATGAGAAATTTGGCAATGGTTTCATCTCGATGCATTTCTCTGATCAACATCTGGGTTCACACAAGAAGATGCTGGTGTTCAAGTTTGCTCTCCCTGATGCCAAAAACATGGCTGATATGACCCGGCTTGTGGCTCTCGTACCTTATTACATTGACTTAGTTGGACGATACAAATTGAGCTCGCATGTGAGTAATTATGGATGCCGCTTTACTGTATGTAAAATTCGAACACATTCATATTTTCTGAACTTTGATTTCTATGGTTCAGGCCCGCACAAAAACTGATGGAGCAAGAACAAAGGTTGCTCAAGAGATTTACAAAGAACTGCAGAATGCCAGGCAAGAAGCGCTGCAGAGGAAGAAGGCTGAGCAGAGAAAGAAGATAGAGGAAGCTGAGGCTAAGCTTAGTGCAGAAGCTCTTCGCAAGAAAGAGGCTAAAGAGCGTGCTCGGCAGATGAAGAAGGCAATGCCAAAAATGAAAATGACCCGGGCTGGGTAGATTCGAGTTTATATGCCATCTCAATCTTCTCTAGACCCTGTCAATGGTCATTGTGTGTCCCAGTGTCGCTGAATTTGATTCTTGTATTAGGTAGACGGGGTCTCTTTGTTGGTTCTGTACCTTAGTTAAGTAGTCTAGGGGTCTTTCATTATTTTGGCCACAGGTTGTGGATTCTGACTTAGTTTGGTGCCTATTGTGAAGTAATGGGTACACTCAGTTAAAATAATATTTTGTTAGAACTGAGAACAGTTTCTTACAGTAAGTAGAAAAACTTAAATCTGAATTTTGGTGGTCTAAATGATGTGAACGATTGATTGCATCTGCTACAACAAAGCTGATGATGTCGCCACGTTGTTGGACACTGGTTAAAACTTTTATTTAGTTTTGTTTTTGTTATTATGATTATCATTTTAAGCCACATCTTACACCTCTAATGCAACGCAAGATTTGACGATTTCATGAGAACTTGTGTCAGCAATGGTGATAAATGTTGATATAAGTTTGCTAATACAAGTCTGAAAGGCTCAATTGGTTGGCGACTTATCTGGTTGTGCATATTATCACTTTTTTCCATCCCGTTTCCAGCTGGGTTGCATGAACTTAGAAAGAAATGAGGAGTTGGTACTAAGAACAAAATTATTTACCAAATAATTGATCTTGACCGCATTGCCCATTTTTTTCTTCCAAGATTGTTCTGGATTTGGTCTTGTTTTCTTGCAGACATGAAACAATCAGGAAACAATGATATCTTTCTGATAATTAGCTTATATAATGATATATGATTATTTTCTAAGTAATAGGAAATAGTACAGCCTCAAAAGATCTAGTTTGACAACAGATAAGAAATTCAAATTTCCATAACCAACTTTGGAGCTCAGCTTGTCGCCCTTCTGCAGCAATTGTATGACACAAATGTATCTCCAACAGCAATGAATAGAACATAGGCACTGCCACAGGCATGACATCATCATCTTTTGGGAGAGGATAGCGAGAAAATATTGCGCAGCTTTTTCTTGAAAAACAGTGGTAAAGCTGAACCGAGAATTGGCAATGTGGTTATGATTGCAGCATATGCAAGCACCCACATTGAAATCTTGCTACGCTGAGAGAGCTGATTAAGACATCTTTTAACAGGAACCATCATTGCATCAAAATCTGCTTTCGGAGCAGGATCAAGCTGAGTTGTTGCATTTGTTTCTTGCTGCACCGTAGCATTGACACCTCTAACACTATCTCCAGCATTGTCATCTTCAGCCAATTGCTCATTCTGCTGACTTCCTACTTCACCTGATGGCTCATTGCTAAATGCGGTTATCATTCCGTCTTCTCTGACGTTCACATATGGTGCCTGATCAATGGATGATTCCAGGGGTCTATCCACTGTGGTATTCTGCATCTGCACAATATAATGACATAAAGGCTCCCGATTACTCTAGCTTCAACTATCATTCTGATATATAAGAATTCACCATCATTTGTCTGGACCTTCACAATAACTTATGAGTAGAGCTATCAATTAACTAGGTATTTAAGCTTATCTTTATAGCATGAGCAGTTTCAAGATGAGCGTACAAATCTGCATACGTTTTCTCGATGGATCAATGAGCTGGATTTCAAAGCACGAAAATATTCTTCAACAGCCCTAACCCACCTGCACCATAAGGAACACATGATTGACTTGTTCTCAGTAAGTATTGATGTCATATCTCATGCTGCTAAATAGTCACCACACACGTCAATACAACACTTGGAGGAGTAAGTAATACATTTGAATGCTTATCAAATACAGATTTACTGAATTCTCCAATTACATCTTCCTTACAAACCCCAAATTCTATTTACAATCCCGAAGTCTGTACTCAAAGAACTCCGTTTTTTCTTGATCCTTCCATTTTGGAGCATTTTCGCATGCTAAAAGAATTGAGACGACTGAATAATGGCGGAGATGAATTGCTAATTAAATTTAACAAAAACATAAAGTAAACTAAATTACAGTGCCAAAACCATATCAGATGAGAGGAACGCAAATTACCAGGAACTTTTTGCAGTAATCCCTTCAAAATATGCCAAGTGTCCACCATGGTGCGTGGTAGCTAGTACGATATTTTTGTTTGCCCTGAACAAGAATCATGTTGTCATACTATATTTAGAGGTGCATCACACACACGCTCATACACAGAGAGACATGAATTGAAAGCATAAAGAATAAAATGATCAGGGGCAGACACAGATGATATGAGGTGAGTTTGAACTAATGAAAGAGACTTCAATATAAGCAAGCCTCAACCTCCATTAGGTAATTAAGTCTTTTCATATTATAAGTACTTCACGGAACACCCAATATATATTGCGGAATAGTTACACCCCCTAGAGGAGGGAAGGGACAGAAAGTAAGGTTTTCTGCACAAGTGCCTTCAGTTTCCATTATGTTTGGCTCAAGGGTGACTCCACCAAATGCTTAACACATTAAATCATTCTTTTATGTCTTACTTAACAACCACACAGTTCCATATTCTCCCCCCACACGATAATATAATTTTTGCAGCTGTATTACTTCACATTAGCTCTGACCTTTTATCTCGGTCTAGCAAATTCGAAATGAAGCTAAAAGGATATTCTGCAACACAAAGGATGACATACCGACATTCATCCCATGGAATTGCTTCTCTTGTACAGACTGGATCATCCAAGCTACTAATGCAGAGAAGGGGAACCATCACATTCCCTATATAACTGGTACAGCTTGCTTTTCTGTAATATGTATCAACAGTCTTGGGGAAGAGGGGATGGAAATAAATGCTGATTAATAAGGCATTGGACACACTACTGAAAAAGGAGGTAAAGTTGTGTTACCTCAAGATTAGCAAGAACACGTGTTGCATGGTGGTCAAAATCTCTGATAGAACGTGACTGCAAGAGAAACAAAGAAAATAAGCCATCAAAATGAGCTCCACACAGCGCAACAGAATAATTGGATCAGGGGTTTCAGGCTAACAACAGACAAGGTGGAAGTCTGGAGATATCACATCTCCTCTACGCAGATGATGCCATTATTCTTTGTGATGCAGAGATAGACCAGATAAGGATGCTGAGAGTTATTCTTACAATCTTTGAAGGCATTAACTGGGGGAAAAGCCTAATTTTCCCGGTTAATGAACCTCGGCATATTCAGCAACTTGCGGGGATTTCTTTGGTGGTGAAATTGGTGTTTTTCCAACTCCTTATCTTGGTATGCCTTTGGGGGCTAAGTGTAGATCCATTGATATCTGGAATGGGGTCTTGGAGAAATGCGAAAAGAAACTAGCAAGGTGGAAAAGTCAATATCTCTCTTTAGGAGGCAGGCTAGTACTTATCAAAAGTGTACTAGATGCCCTTCCTACTTATATGATGTCTTTGTTCCCTATCCCTCCGAAAGTTGAAAGGAGAATGGATACTTTAAGGAGAAAATTTCTATGGCAAGGCAACAAAGAAAGAAGAGTGTTTCATTTAGTTAAGTGGAAGACAGTCACTCTTAGCAAGAGGCATGGGAATAAAAAATTTGAGGAAACAAAACCAAAGCTTCAGAAGAACAATCATATGGAGGATGGTAATTAAAGACAAGTATGGAGAGGCAGGGCCCTGGAAAACAAAGACAGTAAACACTACCCATGGGGTTAGTGTCTAGAAGACAATTAGAAATCTTTGGCAAATGTTCAGCAACAAAATCAGCTATAAAGTAGGTAGTGGACAGAACATTTCTTTTTGGGAAGACAATTGGTTGGGATAGGAGCCTCTTAAGACAATGTATCCAGACATTTTCTCAATAAATCAGCAGTAGAAGACTACTGTGAACGAGGTTTGGTCAGCTCAAGGGTGGAATCTCACTTATAGAAGACTCTTAAATGATTTGGGAAATCACTAGAATTGCAGATTTTTACAACAAATTCAATCAATTCACTGGGGTCAATCAGGACGTAGACAAGGTGTGGTGGTTGGGGCACAACTTAGGAAGGTTCTCAGTCAAGTCTTCCTATCAGATGCTTAATCAAACTAATATTGTGATTGATCTTTGGCCCTGGAAGCACATATGGAAAGTAAGAATACCCTACAAAGTGGCATGTTTTGTTTGGTTGGTTGCTAGAAAGGCTTGTTTAACACAGGATAATTTGAGGAGAAGGGGAATATCTTTGTGCTCTAGATGTCACTTATGCGGAAGGGAGGAAGAAACCAACAGTCACCTTTTTCTGCACTGTTCGGTGACTGTTCAGGTTTGGAACATATTTATAGCACTAACAGGGATTCAATGGGTCATGCCCAACAGCACCATGGAAATGTTGTCATGCTGGAACAAGGGGAGAAGATCTGTAAGTGAGAAGAAGAGATGGGGTATGATTCCTACATGCATATTGGTGGACGCTTTGGAATGAGAGGAATTCAAGTTGTTTTGAAGACAATGCTAACTCAATTCAGAAGATTAAAATGAATTGCCTACTGCTTTTTCATTTTTGGTGTAAACTGGAATACATAGAGGACTCAGAAGCTATAATAGATGTTCTTGGGTCTTTGTAAGAAGATAGATAAATTGATGCATATTTTTGGTTATTCCTACGTAATTATGGCATGCACAGCCTTTGCCCTTTTGAATATAGCAAACTGTTATCGTCTCAAAAACAAATGAGCAATACAAAAAGATTGATCATCTACTTTTTAGTCGCATAAATTATCAATTAAATCAACTCTTTACAAGGAACACAGAGAAATGTGCTCTTAGTACGCGTGAAAAAAGAGGACTTCACCACATCCTTGAAGTTACTCGAGTTAGAATATTATATCCAACTGAGGGTGCCTGTGTTTAATTAGCTTCTTGATACTGCAATGGTGCTAAAAGTTCAAAGCGCATCAAAGGTTTCTTGTCCCCTACTAATATTTTCTTTCTTGTATTCTCTGTAGTAGATGTCTCATCTCAAGAGGAACATCCCAAACTAAACTAAAAGGGATAGACATCCTCATATGAAAAAGTAAAGCCACTCTAGGTTTACATGTTATCTTTGTTATCCTTCCTTGGCACTAAACATAACTAAATTTCCATCAGATATCAGATTTCACATTTACTTTCTTTTGATATGTAGACTTCCTATAGTATAATATTCCAGATGTCTTCAAACATGTTTGTATTTCCCATCTGATACCCAACTATTTATGTAAAGTCAGCACTATGATCCTTCACAGGAAAACGTATAGTTTGGTTGCCTGGTAGAAATCTCAAAATGTCAGTGATTAGAACTCAATATATTTTAATTGGGGAAACTCCATCTATGTTAGTCTTTGTTAGCTGGTCCTAGCATGAAATAGTCATATTATGAATCCTTTAAACATTGACTTCGTTAAAATGTGTTCTCTTAGGCACGTGCTACGTCTGCACCAGGGTTTAGTGCTAAATGGGCAAGGGTTCCATGACGATACCGGCCCGAGAGCGGAATGGATACAGAGGATTTATATAACCAGCGCAGCTAGTATTGGATTGAGGTGTAGTTGATTGATTTAAGTGATAGTCAATTGAAGATAAGGTACTGACAATAGATCAGAAGAATTAGATGACCTTAGCAATGCCTTCCCAATCTGCCAAACGGGACCAAGTAGTCTGATGCCTGCAAACAGATTTTGCCACACAAAAAGAATTAGGACTTCTGAATGAAGACCAAGTGAAATAAAATTACAAGGAACATAGAATTAACTTAGGATTAATGCCATCACAGCTAATAGCAAAGCCATTAAACAAAACACAATATCAGACTGATTAAAGAGACTAGAGGGACGTACAGCTTGGCATAATCTTTTAATCCAATTGTAAGAGCTCTGTCATAGAATCTCTGCACAAGCCTGCGCTTAATAAACCTGTCACCAATCTGGAAAAAAAAGCAAGTGGATTTGACTTAGATAGATAGAGAAAAGCACAGATGAATTTTTGTCTGACACAAGCAAAAGACGGAATAACAAGATTAGAGGTGTGTTTGGCAGGAAGGAAAATGTTCTCCATGAGAAAGTTATTTTCTAGTGTATGGTATGACGGAAGTCATTTTCCATGGAAATCATTTTCCATCAAAAGGAAGAAAATGACTTTTCCCACTTATGGACGGAAGTTATTTTCCTTACAACTATCTTAACTTTTAACTGCATATTAGTTGTTTTAGCTAACACTTAGATATTATCATTAATCTCTGTTACTCAATAGTTTCATCAAAACACTCTCCGATTTGCTAATATTATTTTTAATTTTTAACATATACTTTTTATAAAATATACGTTTCACTCACCAGTCAAACACCACAAACATTTTCCATGATAAATGATTTCCTTCAGATTAAAACACCCTAGGTCCTAATGGTAAAGAATAAACTTAAAAACTGACTAATTTGACTTTAATTAGACTAAGGTTGCCACTATCACTATCTTCATCTAGCATCTTCAAAGAATTATTTCAGGCCAGAAAAACTCTTTCGAGATCATGATAATCCAACAGATCATACATCCAAAACAGCCTTCAACCCAAGAAATAAAAAATATATAGTAGAATCCAATTTAGTGGGAAAAGTGGGAAGATATACCCGATAAAGGATGACGAATGAAACCAAAAAGCTAGCAATACACCAATACCTTAAAAGAGAGTCAGAGCATGCATATTAGTTAGTCTAGATACTAACCAAAAGGTCCCAAGGAGAACAAATAGCAGCTGCCCCAACAATTGCAGTATTAACTCCTTCCTCACCAAGATATTTTACCTGGAAAGTATTAATATTGTCAATAAAATAGTTCTTGGCTTCATCCACAACAGCTGCCCAGTTGAATATACCTGAACTCATTAGAAGTACAATATTTAGAAGAGGAATGCCCATTTACTTAAAAAGCCTTTGAAATCGAATCATTTGCACGTCCATTCATGGCTAAGTTTTGCAACATGTCAAACTTCAGCAGATGGACAATCTAGTAAACTGAGAATAATCTTGTTTAGATGTAACTTCTTCACTAATGTGGGAAATTTTTGTAATGGTCATAATGTTGATATACAATAGGCGTTTTGTATATAACGATGAAGAACTGACAACTAAAGCTTTATGAAAGCCATCTAGACAGTTATCATATGCCCGTGTACCTGTTGTCTGTGCATGTATATATACCTTGCTGACAATAATAGCTTCTCTGAAGATATTTACTGTAACAAGCTATGGTAATTCTCTTCCTTTATCTTTCAAATTTAGTTTCTGTCTTCAGGTAACCATAATGAAGATTCTTTAGCAAAGGAAAAAAGCTAACAGAATATTCAATAACAAAATTGTAACAGCGTACCAGAACATTAGCACCAATGCTGGTCCCAATAACAAATAAAGGAGCTTGAGGGTATTGCGTGTGAAGATGGTCAATCACTTTGCGAGCGTCCTCCGTCCATCCAGCATTATAAAAGCAATCAGACTGCCATCAGGATATCATGAATCTTGAGCTTTCATTGCTTAATAGTCCACAAAATATATATTTCATAACATGATTTTTTGATGAAGCATATTTCATAACATGATAAACATATTACTACCAAAGTTATGGACCTTAACGAATTAAATTCATTGTTTAACTTTCACTATTTTCAGACTTATTTTCATCACATGAAGAGAGTAAATTTACAGGTAAAGAGTTTAAGAGAAACAACAAAAAATTAATGGAAATGGGAGGCACCATAAACCCTAAAAGAAGTTTCAATTTCATGAATTTCATCAGGGACCAAGTAATAAGGCAGTTTCAGTGTAAAAACTAGCTGATCCACAAGCAACTTAAAATTAGAAAGTTCATATCATCTCTCCTCTCCGAGCAATTCAACTGAAGGAAATCTAGATCATATTTTCTCTTATCAAAAGTAACTAAACTGGAAAAACTTAAAGGTCTTGCTCAAGGAAGGAGTACTCACAGTTATTGACACTCCGCCGAGACCCCGATGATTGCTCACAACGACATTCCATCCACTTTTAGCCATCTTAAAAGCAAGATGCTTTATGTACTGCTAAATTATAGCTGATTTAAGAAAGAGCAAAGCGAATATTTGCAGTTGACAGCACATAACCTCAAGTAATCAACCAGTATAAAGTTAGAAATAATAAAATTTTGTAAAAGCCACAAGACCTGGTTATATCTACAGAAAGGAAAAACGGAAGAAATATGCTTATAAACAGAGAAGAAGGGAAGCGAATAAGAACTCAATGGAGGAAGAAATAATTTTTGCAGCACAATTGTTTCTCCAAAAGAGAAAGAGACATAAACATGCAAAAAACTCATAATTTTGAAGACAACAGGAAAAGAGTGGAAGAAAGCTTACAGCAGAATCAGAGTCACTTGTTAAACCAGGAATCACTACCATAATGGGACCTTTATCATCACTGTGAACTCCATCAAAACGTTCAACAACTGGCTTTTTAACTGACAGATAAAAAAGAAACAGAAATTGGTGTAAATTTACTCCATTAAGTACGTAACATATAAAAGCAACAGGGAATACTCAAGAACCACTACTCGATTGGTCCGGTGAGAGCTTGAACTTAAGACAAGTACTTGTTAAAGCAAATGATTAGAGATGGTAACTTGCATACTTAGCAGGGATGATTCAGAACAGATATTGAGTGCTATCAAAACGTAACCAACTAGATAATTACAAGTCCACACGTAACTTCTTAAATAAGCTAAAGTTAGTATTAGTAAAAGAGAGACAATTTATGATTCTTTTTCTTCAAATCAGAATTTCATTAATATAATGAAGTCATTTATGACCTAGGCTGATAAAACTGCTTGAATAAGCTAGCTCAAGCACACACCAGGATATCTAAGGAACAAAAGTTATCAAAGCATAGAAAACCACAGCTTTCACAGCAAGTGGAGAATAAGACTTCAATTATAAGGAAAGGCAGATAAAGAATTTAATCAATGGAGAAATATTCAGAGTAATTCAGACACCCTTATATTGCTTTCCGTCAAGTGCACCCAAAAAATAGAGATTTGATCTTCTATTGGTTCATTCTAACATTCAAAAGGGCTCCGCACTTCCTAAAAGGTAAAAGATGGAGTTGGAAGAGGTTCTTCCATAGCTTTTTTATTTCTACTTTCCAATAATTTTATAACCTTTCAGTGGCTATTCTTTCACAAAACTAATGGCCAAAGCTAAATATAATACCATCTTCTTTCTTCCCCTGAACTTCTCCTCGAACAGCAAAACTATATTATACGGTCCTCCTTAACTCAAACCTTTATACTTTATTCAGTTGGCTAGTCCTCATTTAACACTTCAACTAATCCTTTATCTTTGATATAAGCTACTAGGGACTACTTTCCAAGTTGTCTAGAGCATCTTCTTCTAAGGTCTAAGTTGTCTAGAATGTAAAGCCTTTAAAACTGGTTATCCAACATAGTTGGGAAACGTTCTTGATGACTAGATAACACTTTAACTATTGGAACTCCAAAAAGTCCTCCAAACTTGTAGAGAAATTGACTTTTACATCAAAAGTACATTGTCATATTCCAGATCTTTATTCTAGTTTTGAAGTTTAGTTAAGTTCTAAGACGCTTCTTCAATCAAATTATGAGTTGAAACAGTCCATGATGAAATGAAGACCAATGTTCAAAATGTACTTTACCATCCGCATTCGTTAGCCAATCCAAAGCTATTGTCCCACCATCAGACGTGTGAAATATCTGTCTGGAGGCAACAATGCATTAGTGAGCAAAAAGTGGCCATTCTTCACTTTGTAAAAGGGAAATATGAGAATATGATCTTTTCATAATCTCAAGGGCAACTGTTTCGCAGACAACACAAGTGTGTCTCATTTACTTGTCCTAACTGAAGAGTAAAATTAACACGTCGATGAAACTGAAAAATAAGTCTGTTAATTGTCACCTCCTATAGTTGCAAACAGGTGCCCTTCCAAAGAACTGTAAAAAGGCAGTCTGAATATGAGGACTGCAAAGCCACGGAGTAGACAAATACCTGCAATAACCAACAAGAAAATACCAATGAATAAGGCAAAATGAAACAAAAACCTAAATATACACCTTTCACACAACTTCAGTCTAAAACTCCAGATTACTTAGAACTTTTTTGTTATGAGTAAGACAGAATTAATTGATTACAGAAAAAATTGCTCCCAAAAAAAAATGTACTAGTACATGATTTAGACTTACAATCCACCTGATACAGAAGGGTATATTCACTGGTTCCAAATCATCGTCATATTATATATACCAAAGTTCCAAAATGATGAAGATTAAATTTTAATTCAGCTTTTACCTGCCATGAAGAATTTTGCATTTGGAAACGACCTCTTGATACAGCTCACAGCTAGAGTTAAAGGTCAAAGTAACAGGTTGTCCCCTAAACGCAGTGAATAAATCTTGAAAGAAGTGAATCTCCACGAAATTATAGAGGAATACACACAGTAAAAACAGGAAGCCCAAGAAATAATGAGAAATAGGTATCAAGAAAGCAGCTTTAAGCAAAAGCTCATATGGGGATTCTAAGCTTAACTCGATGCAATCCATGGGGATCTTGTAACAAGAAACAAGAAAAATTGATGGAAAAGAAATATGGAAACAAAAGGGTGGGTAGTTAAATGGAATAGTCGGTTGGGGCAAACTCGAATTTTCCACAAATGGTTGGGATTTGGGCCATTTGGTAATCAATACGTGACTATAGATTTGCCAAACATTTTGTCTTGTTTTCAATATATCTATACTGTCTTTTTTCGAAATTAGTTCAACTTAGAATACTTTAAATTACTCCCTCCACTTCACAATAAGTGACCAATTTGCTTTTAGCACACTCATTAAGAAAATACTAAATTCTTGATGATAGGCTATAATTGCATATTTTAGTCGCTTATTACACTCAAATGTACTGCACTTTAATTGGGTTTGAGCTTTAATCGCTAGTGTCTTGCACTAATTGTGTGTTTTATGCCTTGTAGGAGTGATTCCGAGCTATGTAGATATTATGGAATGAATTCAAGTGACTTAGAGCTTTGAAGTCTGAGTAAAAGCTCAAGGAATTAAGCTGGGATCGTGTTCAGGGGTCAACGGATGATAGTTAGAGCGAACGAAGATTCGAGCAGGCATATTGCGTACTGTCTAGCGCGGCCACTAGCGCGGTCACGAGCGCGGCCGCGCTAGTCAAACCCGGAAAAAGTGTCCTCTTTCACATTGGAAAAGGTATAATTGTTTGGGCCCAACCCTACTTGGTATATATACATGGAAAAACGGTATTTTTGTTTAACCAAAAATTAGATTTCAGGTCAAAGCTTGAATTTAGAAGAACACGGGTTACTGATAATCGGAAGAATATGTAAAGAAAGAAATTTGAAAATAATTTGATCAAAAAGCAAATAAATCAAAGTATATTCCAATAGCGTTTTTTTCGTGTCCTTATAGTTGTCTGTGACTATCCCTTTATAGCCATTTTGGGGATACAGAATTCACCTTTGTCAGAATAAGACAATTATGGGTAATTAATGACTTTAAATGTTACGTTATGCAATCATATATGTTAAATACATATTCTCTAACGTTTCCAGTATTTAATACTCATTAAATGCTGTATCTGGCTCTTTTTTACTGTCAGATTCATTCCTTTGACTTTTCACGATCTTTGACCTTTAAATGTCTTGAATAGGTACGAGCGTTGAATTACTTGTATGACTGCTCGTGCCTTCTCCATTTAACTTGCTCGTATCTGTTGTTGCTCGTATATGTTGTTGCTCGTATCTGTTAATCAACCTTAATTCTTTGACTGTTTGACCAATCTACGTGTCATGACACATCACCATATATATATAAATACAATTTTCCCCAATATAGATAGTCCCCCCACTTTCCATTTATTCATCAGTTTGAATATTTGGGAAGTGGAATTCATTAAAGGAGAATTTTTGTCACCATTAATGCTCTGACAGAGTTGACGCTTCAATTATCACTTCCATTTAATGCTCTAGACATGTGTCATCTCCTTATTGGTTCCACAGTTTTACAGCACTTTCTCAGGCTTTCTTTACGGCTCCATTGTTCATGAAGTGCCAGTTACCATTATTGTGACCCTTCGATTACTGCATTTTTACTTTTGACGGTCGCCCATCAGTATAAATACAATTTTTTCCTTTCACCTTTTACCGCATAAAACTTTTTTCCTCGAACACTTGAATTGTGCAAATCTCTATTTTACTTCTTCTTCTTCCTCATCATGTCTTCTTCAAATCCTAACCCTAAGAGAGTTCCTATTTTAGATAATTTTCCCAATGCCCCTGTTAGGCATAGAAGGGGTGGGAGACTTCGTAGCTTAGGATCCTCTCGTGGTGGCGGTTCTGCCATGCCTTCTCCTAGCCCTGGTTCTTTCTCTAGAACTAGAAGTTCTTTTACCCAAAAATCTTCTTCTAAAAGCAAGGAGGCCTCTGAACCATTACAAGAGCCCTTGGTAGAAGAAATAGTCCCTAATGATTTATCTTTTCACCATGATCGACAATCACTTCAAACCCAAGTTTCTGGTCTAGATCGTACCGATGCTTACCCCACTTTGATTACAGAGATTTTAGCTCCCATAGTCCGCAAAGATTGTCATTGGAGTAACGACTTTCCCATTGTAATCCCCAATCCAAATCAAAGAATTACCTCCTATATGACTGGTCTTTCTTTTGTTTACACATACCCTTTTACTCTTGGTTTTAAACCAGCCATTGATCCAGTAATTCTCGATTTCTGTCATTTCTTCAAAGTTTGTTTAGCACATATTGGCCCGCTGGTATGGAGGGTTGTTGCTTGTTTAAGGCATCTGGCCAATTTGGCAGACGTTAATTTCACCTTCCCTTACTTAATTCATTTATACTCCCCTAGACTTTTTCGTAATGGCGTCTTTACCTTAGTGGCTAGGAGTAAGAGGGTTTTGGTGAGCCCAGAAGATGATAAGGATCGTGGCTGGTACGCCCGATTTGTTGCCGCCCCCACAGTTGGTTTAGTGGGTGAACAAAACGTTCTCTTCCCTGAGAAGTGGAACTTTGCACGTAAGTCTCTTATTTCTCTCGTACCTCTTTTCTTCGAGTTTATCAATTTCTCTAACTTTGTTTCCCTCTCTCCTTTTTTTTTGTTTTTTTAGCAACCATAGGAGTTGTGGAGAACATTCCCAATTTTCGTGGTTGGGTAGATAAATTGCTGAAGATCGCGCCTATGGAGGCTAGGTCTTGGAAATTTATTTCCAATCGTCATGGTTGGAAAGTAAAGACTCACGGTATGAGTTTTTGTCTTTCTCGTATGTAAAAAAAATTTCCCTTGACTGCTTTAACTTTCAACCTTCTCTTTGTCAAGTTTTGCTATTCGAGGTGTTACTGCTGAAGCAGTTGCGCCTCTCGTTTAGGAACCCAACTTTCCTTAGAGAGTGCTCAGGATATTCTTCTGAAAAGAAAAACCAAAGACGATGATAGCTCCGACGAAGAAGAGGAGGATGGTTCCTTGGTGAGAAGGCCAAGAGTTAGGAGACGTATCGTCTCTGACGAAGCTGGAGCTTCCCATCCTCTTTCTCCTACCGGGCCTGTTAATCTTGTCTCCGATGATGACGTTGCCACCCCTCATGATACTCATGAGTCGATTAACCAGCTTTTCGTTAGTGGTTTTGAGAGTGGTGAGTTAGGACTTGTTTTAGATGAACCTCCCCTATCTTCCTCTTCAACTCCCATATCTTCAGTTCATTCTCTTCCTTCTTCTACCGTGCCTTTGGTTCCTTCCTTACCTGCTCCATCTGCTTCCGTACCTGTTCCACATGCTTCCGAACCTCCCTTTGCTGTTTTCACTTCTTCTACCACTCCTCCTTCTACTGTCCATAATACAGAAGTGGGTTCTACAAGCAGAAGGATTGCTATGAGGAGCGTGACTATCGAAGTTCCTGCCAACAACAGCCTCTTGAGGAAATCCGGTCAGGCGGATGTTTGGCTTGAGCCTTTAATAGGCCCAATTGAGAAAGAAAAAATGAATAGCCATAGCTGTCTGACTTTGATGAACGACGTAGTTCATTCCACCTTGAAGGTATGTCACTTCTTTCTTTGCTTTGCCATAATTTTTCTTCACTTATCATTTTCAGGCCAACCTTTTTGGTACAGAGCTGATGAACAGAATTTCTTTATTAGAGAAGGCGACACGTGACTCTGAAAAGGCTGCTCTTGATTCAGAGAGGGAAGCTCGTGACTTTCAGATGGAAGCAGCTAATTGGAAGGAACAATTTGATAGTGCTCAAATTACTATTGAAGATTTGCAAGAGAACAAGGATAACCTGGAACAGCAGATAAGAGCATTAACTTTAGAGCTTGCAGTTGTCAAGGCTTCTTCAAGTCAGGCAGAGAAAGAAAGAGAGCGTCTCGAGTCTTCTTTCTCAGAACAATTATCTAAGGCAAGTGAAGAGATTAGAGAGCTGAGAGCTCTTTTAAGTCAAAAAGAAATTTATGCTAGAGATTTGGTACAAAATTTGACTCAGACACAAGAAAATTTGCGAATTTCTGAAGACGAGATGCAGGACTTAGAAAAATCTCATGCCTCTCTCCAAGCCTCTTACAACTCAGCCTTGGATGAAAATGAAGGTCTCAAGAATGAAATTGCTGCTTGGGAAAGAGATTATGAGCTTCTTGAAGATAAGGTTGCAGTTGATGTAAGCTGGGCTTTTCTGAACTCTCGTCGTGATGCTTTAGTTGAAGCTAGCCAAGAAAACTTTAATCTAGAGTCAGAGTTAGCTAAAGTAATGGAGACTATTGAAAAAGCTCAACAACCACTGGACTTCCCTTCACCCGCGATTGAAGTTTTCGAAACTGAAGTTCCCGGAGTTAATGTTCCCGTGGATGAGGTTCCCTTGGCTGAAACTTCTGCAGTTGAAATCCCTATGAACACTAAAATTGCCTCAGGTGATGCACCCTCTTCAAGCTCAACCGTGCCTCAAGTTGAAACTTCATCTATTGATACTCCAGTGATTGAAAATCAACCCGCTCCTGTTGGCGATGCTGTTCCAGTTGAGCCCACTGATGATCCTTCTTCAGTCCTTTCCTCTTAGTGAGCAAATTTACATCTGTTTTAAATTCCCTTTTTGCAGGTACCTGTTTGGAAAACAGTGTTTAAAGTTTTTGGATTCATTTGAGAGTTTTTGTAATCAAACCCTTGGCTATCACTTGAGGGTTGGTTTTTAGAAGTACAAGTCCCCAAGTCTTGTAATGGGGCATTTTGTATAAACAATTCGATGACTAAGTTTATACTTAGTCTTTAGTTTTTAAATATTAAGAAGTTTTTATTATCATTAAACTTCCGTCTGTTCTATTCTTGCCTTTTTATTTTCAAGGACTTAAAGAATAGTCTCCATTTTTGTTCTTTGAAAAATGCTTCTGTTAATCCCATGACTTAATAACATGAGTTTTATAAAAGAGGGCCCTTTTATATTCTGACACTTAATGAAGAAGACGTCTCAACTTCATAATGGTGTTATCATACGATAAAAGAAATAGGAACACACATGTTTTTTGCAAGAACTTTGACAAGTTTTTATTTCTGAACCTTGACAAATATTGAGTAATACTTTACATGTATTTGCATTACATCTATAACTTTCTCGTAACTGTTTTCCTTACAGAGTTTTTTCTTATAACTCGTTTTAGTACATAGCCTATACTATGA